GGTATATGTGAGCCAGAACACTTTCATTATAGTTGCCTTTTAGAATAAATTTGTAGTATGTTATATGAAACAGATTAGCATAAGAATGGGTTTCCTAACTATCTTGTATTTGAAGCAAAAGCATTAGTATTTCCACATGCTTCAGACACGTTAACGTTAACAGTGTGTTAGGCTTTATCACTTGTATCCCATTTTACGTTTCTGCACTGTAACACCGCTATTTTATGCATTTGCTGCACAGCACTGTTGTTTCCTTCTCGTTTGACAATCCTGCATGCTCGAGGCAGCTGGCCAGCCTTACCTGTGATCTGTAGATTGACAATGACTGTCTGACCTGGGGTTACAGAGCAGGAGTGAAGGAGCTCTGCTGAAATGCACGTCCCTTGCTGTTGCTGTGCGTGAGCAGCAGCTACTCCTCTGTAATTTGGCAAGGTGGGCTCTCAAGGGCTGTAATGGATGCTGTGCCCCTCACCCTGTTCCTGCTACTCAGCCTGCATGGTATTGTCATTCTGCACTGGAATTCCATGGAAAAAATAGTTGTCTAATGTTGAATAAAATATTAAGTGAATGTTTGTTGAATGTAGTCCAAACTTAGCAAAATGCTAATTAAAATACAATCCTCAGCAGGAAAGTAGTTTATCATATAAAGAGTATGTCCCAAAACTTACACCCAATGACAAAGACTTCGTGATACGATGTGATGTTCTGCTGCAGCTACTAACATGGATTTGTTGCTGAATTGAAGAATAACGTGTCTTATATAGCCTAAGTTGCACCATGGTATTGATACTGGAACTGAGACTGTGTGGCATGTTTGTTGAAGGGATGGAATGGATGGACCCTCACCGAGTTTGTGGGTGATGCCAGATAAGGGAGCAGTTAATAAGCTGGAGGGCAGGGCTGCTACCTGGCAGGTGCTCAGCAAGCTGAAAGAATGGGCTGAAGGGAACTGCATGAACTTCAACAAGGACAAATGAAAAGTCCAAGTCCATGCAGCACTACAAGCTGTGGACAGACTGGCCAGGAGCAACTCTGCATGAAAGAACCTGAGGGTCCTGGTGAACAGCATGTTGAACATGGACCAGCCATGTGCCTCTGACCTGTATCCAGCTGTGTTAACCCAGTATGAGAGAGACTGACAAACTGGAGAGACTCCAGCAGAGTGCCGCTGAGGTGGTGGGGGACTGGAGTGCATGGCACATGAGGAGAGGCTTGGGAGATATGTTCGTGTAGTCTGGGGAAGCCTGAAGGGGGGCCTTTACTGCAGCCTTTCATTGTGTAAGGGAGTCTAAGAAATGGAGATGGGTTCTTCAGGTGCACAGAGAAAGCCCATGAGGCAATGGGTGTGAGCTGCATCAAGGGAGATCCTGACAGGCTATAAGAAAGAAGTGCTCACCGTGAGAGGGCTGACACCTTCCCTGCCTTCCCCTTGGAACCAGTAGTGCCTGGAGAGGTCATGGAATCTCCGTCCTTGCAGAACGTAGTTGGTTGAGGCCCAGAGCAACCTCCTGTAAAGGTGGTCCTGTTCTGAAGTCTCTCAGAGCGCCAGAGGTTGTTCCCAACCTAAATCACTCTATGATAATTGCTATGTTAAATTTCCTAGACAATTATTTTCAGCACCTAGTAGTGGAGTTTCAGCTAAAGTCCAAACATAGTAGAACTTTGAGTTTTGAATTGTACTAGTTTTAGAAAGACTTAATATTTAATCAATACAGAATTCAGGTAGTGCTTTATCTTCTTTGATGTACAACATTTAATCTTTTTGCTGTGATAGTCATCTTGGTAAATAGAGACTTCGTATACAAAATCTCTATCCTAAATTGAGAAAATTAAACTTCATCAGGTGTTTCAGCTGCCTCTAAAACATCTGGGCATTCTGTTTGTGCTAAATGTTTGAATGATTTAGATTTTAGGGCCACGAGGTGGTGGTCCTTGCTGAAGAAACCTTAAATGTTTTGTTGAATGTGCAGTTCTAAAATTACTTCATCTTTCATTATTTCTCATTTTACTTCCATTGTCTGAAATTATGGAAAGCTTTATGTCCCCAGATGGGTTTTTTGTATTCTCAGATTTCATTTTGCACAAAGTATTATGTAGTTTCATATGCAAGCTCACTTTAAACTGTTAAATAGGAGATCATGTTCATAGTCAAGATGAAATAGAATTAATAATAATTTATATCTAAATCAAACTTAAATTTTATTTAACTGTAAAAGTATGGTGACCTACCACTATATTAAAATCAAGTACTTTAACATCCAAAGACTGTAAAATTTAAGCAGGTCATACCACCGAACCTTTGGGATTTGTGGGTTAACCAACACAAAACTAGTCTTTCAGACTGAAGTGCTAAATTAGCAATTGACATCTTGCCATCATGCAGAATGTTTTCATATTTTCAGTTTAATTTCTTCCAATGACTAGGTTATTCAAAGCTGAGAGACTTCTTGGGAGTTGGAAAGACAGAAAACTTGTGTTCCTTTGTTGATCTGTGAGTAAAAGCAAGGTGTCAGTAGTGTATTAGTTCCACAGTTTTGAAGAGCACTAGAGAAAAGAAGAATCTGCCCAGGTGACTTGAGGATAATATTTCATGTGTTTAATAAATTGGTTAATTTAAAATATAAAAGATGCTTGCTTCAACTTTATTTTCAAAACACGTAGGTAATTTGATGTATTTTTATTTAAGTTGATTTCCATCCAAAAGCAGTTTGGAAAAAGAGTAGTAGATTAATCACCTATTAAGTAAGAAATATAATTCAGCATTTTCTAACAAAATAAAAAGGAAAAAATAAGAATCCTGAATGAATGCACGTTAAATTGTATAAATTTACTATATAGCCTTGTGGTCAATAAAAAGTAACATGAAGATTAATGTAGAGGCATTATTTAGTGGAGCACCATCGTATTTTAGCTTCTACATGATTGAGAAAAGATAGCTTTCTTTAGAAAACAGTAGGTAGCAATGCAAAATCCAAACTTAAAACTAGTATTTTATGATGAGATTTCAAGCTGGTTGATTTAACTGAGGACAGTATATAATTAAAATCTAATGCTGCTCACTGTTCTTCTCTCGGTCATTTCTAGGTGAATCTTTATTTTTAACTAACTGTCTAGCATCTGTGTAATGAGAAATTCTTTTATTTGTTTCAGTAATTTTTATTCTTCTTCACTGCTGAATTTAAGTCTATTGGGGGAAGAAAATCTAAGGAGAAGAGTTTCAGTCACTCTTTTGTAGCCTGAAGATGATTGCAATGACTTTAAAGAAGATGGTAATCTTCTCCCAAAGTTTGTTATTTTAAAAAGCCTTGTTGTCATAAAACCAGATTTTTTTTTTTTACATAACATTTTGTTATGTTTTCCTTCCAAAATGTTTTCTGAATGAAAACGATATTGGCCAGCTTCTAGAATGCACTGAAAAGAAGTAGTTATTTTATTGCTATTATAGCTGGGTTTTGTAATGGTGATGACTATACAAAACTCATGGGATCATCAGACTCATTGATACTTGATTTCCCATTCAAGAGTATCTTTGAGGCTTGTATTTCATATTACTGAATATGAAAAAAAAGTATGTTGACATAAAATGAAGATTCTTTTTAACTTCATACCTCACAGACATTTAATTTTATTTTAGAAGAGTTATGTTTTACTCCATTTTTTTATTCCTTTTATCCTTTTTTTCCTCTTAATATATGCGTTTCCTACAGTTATTTCTTTTAAATGTAAATTTAACTACAAATACAGGTATCTTCTTAAAGCTTTTACACCATCTGTTAGTGTTATCAATGATGAGTTTTAAAGATCAGTTTATATTATATCATAATATCCTTTATTATATGGCTTAATTCCTTTATTATGGAATGAAGGAGAGTAATAAGTGCTATATAATGTATTTCCACATTCTTGAGATGGAAAGAATTTTGTTATCAGAGTCTAGTGAAGTCTTTGGAGGATGGTAGTGATTAATGCTTATGGAATAGATGTTTTGTGAGTTTTTGGAGCTGTCTGTTTTGTATTTTCATGAGGTTGCGGGGAACTGGGTGTGAAGACCTAGGCAGTTCCCTTCAGTTCTGTATTCATATACATGCAGTCTTTTGTTGTCAGTGGAAAAAGGCCTAGTGAGCGTTAGGGTATGGTTAAGATAGGCCATGGCTTGGTGTAGCTTGGATGTTAAGGTTTGACCGCAGGACCTGTCATTCCAAACTACATTAATTTAAAAGTGAAGAGGATCATGAATGCTGTAAATGCATTCGGTATAAAGTAATCATAATAAAAAAATCAACTCTTCCAATAATTTCTAGATACCATTAAAAGAATCTCTTCAACAGTTTGTACCTGCTTGTTCCTCCTTCTGCAAGGCTTAACAGTAGCTTGTTTCATGTCCTGTCCCTGTATCACACCTTCCTCTTTCAACATGGTTGACTGAATGTATTCTCCTTGCTTTGTGGATTCCTTCATTGCCCTCACTAGGTATATTATGTGTTGATGTTTTGTTTACTCCTGTAATTCTAACACTAAAATGTTTTTTATTAAAAATACCAGGTAAACCCAGCCTTTAGTAACAGGCTTTCTCTTTTTTTTTTTTTTCTTTTCTTACCATGGAAGATAATAACAACATTATTTTGGCATTCTATTATGTTACAAATATTTTTGATATTTTGAGAATTCTTCTGTAGATGCTAGTTCCCTCAGAACAGGAAATAATGTTTTATACTTGGGAAATATTAGTGTGGCTTCAGTTAGTTTGCTTGTGTTTGTGTAAAAATTCTATGTAAGAGTTTTCAAACTGCGCCATCATTAGTAGTATTAAGCCAAAGGTACATTTATTGTTTTTTCCAAAGAATATCATACATAAATTGAAAAATTGTTGAATCAAGCTTTTGCATTTTTATTAAATGACATGGTTTTACAGCTTTTTCTTTTACACTGTTTATAAGCCTTTTTAAGAAGCCAAATACACTTTATTTGTTAATATTTTCTAATGATTTATTTCCACATAGGTGGAGAACGAACTTGCGGTGTACATGAGCTAATCTGCATTAGAAAAGGTAAGCAATGATTTGTGAAAGTGAACTTCTGAGCTTGTGAATAGTACTGGTGAGAAATCTGCTACCTAATGTTACAATCTTGGGTGTTCTGGATCTTAGCATTGCATCTTTGTGTTGCAAAATCTTTTGATGCTGATGCTGTCAATGAAAAAAAGAAATAAAATGTGAAGTTCCAAAATAAAATTTGAATTTTCTCAAGAAGGAAAAATGTGCTCTTCCAATATTCACTGAGTTACATGGAAGTTGTTAATGTTGTTCAGCTGTGATAGGAAGCCACAAAAACTTTGATCTTTGCCTTGTTCAGATATTTGTAGGATGATTTTATTTTTAGTAGTAATAGAAAGTTGTGAGGGTATTTTAAACAACTGATGTAATGGACTGGCAATCTCTGCCTATGTTTTCAGTTGAGACCCTAATGACTCAAACTTCTTTGAAAATGACTGTATTAGTAATGAAACCAGTAATTAATAGAGCCTGAAACAGAGCTGTGCTCAAGAGAGGACTTTTATAGGTTTAAAGCTGAGTTACAATGACAGAAGTTGAAGTTTGACAGTACAGCTCAGCTGATACAATGACTAGATATAGTTCTGTTTTCTTGTCCCTTTTGCCAGGCCTACGCTTCTTTCTGTGGCATTGCTATTGAACATCTGTGTTCTGATGTGAAAGCTAATCTTAACCTAAAAAACCTGAAAAGTTTCTTCAAGGATTAGTTCCTTGCATTGACTCACTGTTAGATCAGAAGAGTCTCAGTGCTTTCAAACGGAAAGGAGTAATAAAGTGTGGCGGGAGAGGAGGAGGGCTGCAAGACTCTTGACAACTAAGTGTTACACTGGCTTAATAGTATTGTCAAACCATGTCGTGCTTGGTGGCAAGAAATTTTGTTTGGCTTCTGAATAGAGCTTAGTTTCTATTGCATTCACTTAAAGGTTTTAGTAAAATGAGTTTTTTTTTAAACATTTACTTAATATCTCCTAACCTCAGAATTAAGTCTACCAGTTAAGGTGAAAAATAGCTTTATCATCACAAGTCATCTTTTCCAAATATCTATTAAAAGAATAATTGGGTGTTGTATGTGGTTTGACAGTACTGTAATTAAAAACAATTTTATGCTTTTTTAAACTGTAAATTGTTTCATTCTTGCTTTTTTAATTACTTCGTTTTCACTTGGGGGTGTACTTTTTCCTTTTTATGTTTTCGGGAGGGGGTTTTGTTTTGTTGGTTTTTTTTAAAACTTCTTTATTGCTATCTCTGTTTTTCTGTTGGTGTATAAGTTGGTACACAGTGTTCTGTATTCCTTCTGTAATAGGCTCTGTTTTTCTTTCTGAATTATGAAACTCATTGGAAGTTCAGGAAGCCTACTGATAAAGTTTCAAAATCTATTAATCTTGCTAATCTCTATTTATTTCAGGGTACTGTAGTGATTTTAAGAAAAACAATTTTTCTACGTTCTTGGAGGCAGTGCTGTATGTTTTTTAATGTTATTGCTGGGAAGCTAAATTGAAAAGACGTGCATTGTTTTTTAAGGTTCTATGTTATGTTTGAACACTAGATTCTAGGCTGCATTTGCCATTGATATGATATTGTAAACATTTTTTTTTTAGAAACAGTTGCATGGAACCTGTGTTTTAGCATTGGTGGTTATAAATTAGCTTAGGGATAAGCATGATTAAAAGAGAAGTATCCTCTTAGTGCCGTTTATACCTGCCACATGTTGGGTTCCTTTTTTCTTCATATGAGTTTCTATGTGTATTCTAACCTTGTGTGCCCCTACGCCCAGCCATGTCACTGACAAATTTCTCCTTGCAGTGTGTGGAGCCGGGTGCATACTTGTCTGTCCTCTCTCCCTATTTGAGGTGTACATATAAAGCAGAAGATGCTTGCCATCATACTTCAAGTCTTCCAGTCGTGTAGTGTTTTGATTACTTTATCTAAGACTTTACATCATCTGATACGCATTCAGGATGTTTTTATTGTCTGACCAACGGCCAGGCTCCAAAGGATTACTTTATTTGCCAGTTGTCCAGGCCTGCTTGTTTGCCAGGATCAGAGTGCATGCTCAAGATCTGTATTGACCTCCTCAGAATAGGAAGGCCTTTCCAAGCAGAGAATTCCTGGCTACCAGCAGTCTGGAGCTAGTCAAATCAGACCTTCCAGCTCTGTCTTTAGTGCCACTGGGTACTCATTTCAAGCTTATATAGGATCAAGTTGAAAAGTTTCATGGCATAGAGGTCTTCCTCTTCACCATCTCTTGGCTGCGCTGTGAAAAGCCAAGCATTTTTTGGTCTGTGAGCTCACGGTGGAAGTTTGATAGCCAAATTAAGTATTCACATTGACACATGGATAATCCCCTGTAGTCTTGCCTGGTGTTAGGCAAGATTGCACTGTCCCCCTCTCCTTTTTCACTGGCGTCTGTGCGACTGTGGCACCAGGAGAGTGCACCCCGGCACTCCTATCATTCTTTCATTTTTTACCACATGCTATCTATGAGGCTTTGAGAGTTGGTGCAGTGTTTGACAGAATGGTTCTGCGTTTGCTGTTTGCCCGAAAGCTTCCCATGCTTTCTGCCAGGTGATGGTAGGTAACTCTGCCAGGTGACTGTAGTTAGAGTGCCTGTGTGGAACCTCTGAAAGAAAGATTAGTAGTAAATAGCCAGCATAAGTAACTAGAATTCTTAGAGATGTCCAGTGCACATTTGTGCTTTGCTTGTCTGTCCATCTTTCTCATAGTCTCTCCAAGTACGTTGTTGTTGAGAAGCAACTAATATGATAAACAGTGATGTTCCATCTTATTTGTCCTCTACTGAATACGGAAAAGGGAAAAGCAAGCAAGCAAGCTTGTGTCTTCTATGAATAACGCACAGGAAAACTTTCCGGTTTCAAGTGATGGAGTGTAGTTAGAATTTATATGGGGATTATACGACTTGAAGAACACCTGTTGCTGGTGATTAATTTTTCTTTCTGGTTAGCAAAATAACACATTCCTAAATTGTCTTGTTCTTGCCTGCCCATTCATTTTTTCTAGGAAAATAGGAACCTTGGTGTATCAGATGATGAAATGTGGAAATGGACCAGAAAGGTCTGCAAGGCTATGTGTGACCACACCATTTAGCTCGAATTATTTAATGAAAACTTCTTATCTATGTATGAAGGCATAACTGTAAAAAAAAAAAAAACCAACAAAAAAACCAAACCAAAGCTTAAAAAGGAAATATCTGCTCTGACCATATTCAGTTGTTAAAATGAAAATAATCTGAAACCTCACTTTTCATTTTTTGTGAGGTTTTGCATTTCTCAAATTAGCCAAAACAATGGAAGGGTGTTTTTACGTTCATTATCTTCAATTTTTTTAGGTACTCTAGGCTGCCGTACTGGGACTGCAAACAGTTGCATTTTCATTTAAAAGCATCATTAAAACTTCTTTGATGTTAACAATGCTTCCACTGAAATAAATACAACTAAGTTGGTTTGTAGATTTATTTTTAGCTTTCTAAGACTCAAAGATTTGCAAGTACCGGTTATAATGCTTATTGAATATCTGAGATTATCTGAATTCTAGTGTAAATATGATACCAATACAGTATCAATACAGAACTCAGATTTGCTAACCAAAGGTGTAGCAATTGTCTAGCACAGGGCCTGCCCCCACGTCACATAATGTTGTTACAGCTTCATCGTTGCCCAAGATAGAATGTGGTGGGTCCACTTCTAGTCTGCACAAGAAGGATTAAAGTACTTTTATAGTGTTTTGCTTGTTCAGTTTCCTTTTAGCAGATTCATACATTTTTGAGAAGAATCTGCAAAGAGCTGGTCAGGAGTAAGAAGACTGATAGGCTTTTCTGGAAAGCCTTAAAAACTAATTTGTATGTATTTTTAAATAGAGGCTTTTTCTATATGCGTACTTATAGGGGGTGTGTGTCCTGAAAACGTGCATATTTTTGTGGCCATTATGTAACATCTAATAGCTGCAAAATAGAGAACAAGTCACTTTCCAGCTATAGAAAAGAACTTTAAAGTATGATTAGTTATTACAGAAGTTCAGTAATACAGGACTGAAATTTGTGTCTCCTGTGTTTAACATAGCTAAGTGATTGAACTGTTTGTGTGATTTTGTATTTACGCTTTGTCAAATTCTGGAAATTGGAAAAAGGAAGAAGGTATTTTTGCTTTTGGTATAAATTAACTTCTTGTTTACTTCTGTTATTTAATGCAAGTTTATTTTATGTACGCACACATATTCAAATTCTTCTTGTCTGACAATACAAATTGAAGGCTTGGCTAAGGAAAGAAGAGTCATGCATAGTTTAGTTAGTAGTGACTGAGTCATTTCATTCAGTCACTTAGGGTTTTTGACAACAGCAGAAGGTGACAGGATTTTTCTGAAATTACTCAGTTAAAGGTTTCCCTTTTTGCTGGCTACTTTCCTAACATGTTTTTGAGAGAGTTGTGAGGTTACATTAAATTGTTCCTTTGGTTATTTGCTATGGACATAAAAGAATCTAGGGAACCTGACATCAGACTTCAGAAAAATATTTCTTTTTTTGTCTGTGTAATGCACTGTAGCTAGGCTGCTAGTCTAACTGGGAATTGACTGTTGTTAGATGTACTAATGTTTTAATTAAGGCTGTTTTGAGGTTCTGTTTATACAGCCGAGACAGACTTGTGATGAGTGTTTATGATATTGAGCTGTAACTGAAGAAAAACCCTCTTTAATATATTCTGATATGTGTAATATTCACTGTGCGACATGGAGGTGACATTAAAGCAGAAAATGTATGGCCATATTATTTTTAGGTCTCTTTCACCTTTCATTGTTCATTTGTGTATTTTTGAAGTAATGCAAAGTGATAGTTCTAACTCAGCAATTTATTTGGTATTTAATTCATGGAAATGTAGACTGAGTATCTGAGTAAGGTCTGAGTTGTACAGATTTTTAAAAATTATTTTTTAAGCCTTTTTTTCTTTTCCAAATGTTCTTTTCTTTCTATTGTTGTGGCAGTCTTG